AACAAATTTGTGTGATGTTACTGTTCGAGGCACTGATTTTATCATGTAATCATGTATCTATATTTACTCTTAACATACATTTTATAATCCTAGTTCATCTGTAACTTGCTGTTAACCTACAGACACATCCCTAAGCAGAATGACAAGCCTAAACTGTAGATTTGATATCTTGATGTAATAACAGCAAACCAACAAGGCCACGATAAAGTCAGTGTCAAAAGTGTTGCCAGTATTTATCAAGCTGAAGACCTTTCACTTCATGTCAAGAAGACAATATGTTTAATCTATTTTTGCTAAAAGAATATCTCCTTCTTCCAGTGTTGTGCTGTGAAGTAAAAAAAGCAAGTCATTCTCAACTTTGAGATAAACCTGAGGGTCAGAAAGGTAAATACAGAGGAAAATGCCACCCTGTGTTATGTTTAAAGCTATCAATGGCAACTTTACTAAAACAGACATGCACAAACAGACTGACAGAAATTTGTATTAGAGTTTTATGGAGTGCTATTTTGAGTTAGATTACACAAATATGAAAAGGCAACTTAAAGCCAAATCCAGTAATGACTGAAACAGAAAGAAGTAAGATTGTGACAGATAATCAAAAACAGTAACTGAAACAAACAAAATATTCTGTGGATTTTATAATTCTAAAATATTTGTTAATGCAGCAGATAATGTTTTTTATAGGTAATTTCACTTTAAAAGCAACCTTGCCACCTCCGGGTGTGACCTTGACCTTGTGTCATGTATTGTCTGGTGTTAAGCACCGTGCTCCTTTCAGCTCAGAGATGTTCAACTGACACTGTTTGTGTCACATAGTGAGACAGCCGCTGGCGACTACTGTCTTCACATACTGCTGGAGGGACGCCTCCATTGACTGTTTACTGCCCGTAGCTTATTAGAGGGGGTCTGATGACCTCGCCCACCCAGGAGGGAAAGACAGAGAGGAGATTGGGCGTTTCTGTTTCTTTAAAGTCCTGTTACTGAGCTAAAAATTAAAATAGGAAACTATATAAACTTTATATATTATTATATATTGTAAACTTTTATGAACATCTATCTTCATCCATCTTTCAGCATTGTTTCTACATGTGATACTATAACCACTCAATGACTGGAAGTAACTAAACACAAATTAGTCAGCACATTAATAACAAATAGCTGTCAGTGTGTTGAGGTCAGTGGTTGCTTCAGACCTCTCTTCATTTTCAGTGTTACTTCCATTAAAACATTAAAGTTAAAGCAGCTGAAATGATATTTATTCAACTCTTTTGCAGTCAAAACTAACATCGGCGTTTTTTTAAATATCTAATGTCAGTTTATTATTATTATTAAAATAAGGAAAGGTCTTTGGGGAAATAACAGCAATGTTCCTGCCGGCTGGAGGGGCGTGTCTGCGTTTGATTGACAGCGACTGGCAGGCTGAGCTCCAGTACTGAACTCCAGCAGTGGAACAAGAGAAAAAGTGAACAAACTTGTGCTGTTGCTAACAAATAATGGGCAGACTGTGTTGTTAGCAGTAGTACTGATGAGTAAGCACCACACTAACTTCACAGGTAATATTACATGCTGTTTAATGTGCTGAAGCTAATTAGCTATCTAGCCTAAAACTGATGTCAGCAGTGCACTTTGCCCCCTGGTTTGGTGGCTTGTAACATTATCATTAATGTGGAGTCATGTTTCTGGCCATTTGGTGAAGGTAAGTCCAACTGTCTTTCTTTTAGCTTTGGTTCTTGTCTTTACCAACTTTTGAGGGAAATATCTCGTTGTTCAGCTGCTAAAGTGAATCAAAACAGTAAAGTTGTGCTTCAACAGCGACGGGGAACTACAGATTGAGGTGATAATTCTTTATAGGTTCATACATTGTTATAAAAAAAATCATTTATAGGCACTTTAAGGATAAACATCATGTAACTGTAAAACAAAGCTAACATGAAATCCCTTTGATTGTGTTCGTTTATAGTATCAGTGACACAAAATGAGGCCAAACAAGAAACATCACCTGCTACACTCATACCTCAGGAGAAACATTAGAAAAACACTTTTGACACCAAACAAGGGGGCTTGAAGGTTTAACTAAAGAAAGATGAAGGAATCAGAAAGGATGCAATATGATCTCTGAAGACTCAATGTTTTATTAACTATGTATTTTAACAATTTATTCAAGTTGTAGTTCTTTATCTCTTAATACAATAATAGCAAATTAATGAGAACATGGTAATAACAACATTACACCAAACGTGTTGTTAGTGTCAGTATTTCTCTAAATGACGACCACATTTCCCATACAACCTTTGCTGTTTGTCAATTTGTGCTGAAAGAATATTTCCTTCTTCCTGTGTTGTGTCACAAAGCGAGCACCCTGTACAGTACCTGGGGGTCAGGACCTCCCCAAGGTGTATTAAGCCTGCCCCTGAAGTACGTTGAAGAGTTTATTACATCTTGCACATGATCCAATAAATGCTCACTGACAGTTAACTTTATCCATCACCAATAGGGTGTTTTGATCCAGGGTTAGAGTAATCTTTTTATATTACTCTAAAAAATTAGCTTGATCATAACAGTTCACAATCATAACATAAACCCAACAGTAATATACTAACAACACTGAGTCAAAACCCAGATTGGTGTAATTTTGACTCAGTGACTTTTAACTAACTGTCCTTTTGCTGCCCAGAAAACTGACGTGACAGGACAGAGAGCCACTTATGAAACAGAGAGAGATAAAAAGCCAGAAGGTTGCAAGAGAAGAAGCAAGCAGAGCCAGTTACAGAGACAGTAAGCGAGAGAGAGTGTGAGAGGAGGAGAGAGGGGAAGAGATAAAAAAGATACGAACAGAGGAATAAAAGGAAAGCGAGGAGCTTACGCAGTGAAAAGAGCACATTAGAGGCGACCTGCTGCGACAGTAGTGTGGGGAACGATGAATAACTGCCTCCATTTAGACCAGTGTCCTAGTAGTGTGCAACTATAGGGGCCTCATATGGACACACACACTCAAAAACACCCAAAATACATAAATAAAGCAAAAGAAACTCATTGAAAAGCATGTCTTCTTGCACCAAATTGATACCTGACATACACACACACACACACACACACTGCTCACACACCTCCTCTGAGCTCTGCTCTGTCCCTCTCATTCACACATTTCTCCACATTGGCCGGATTAGGAACACTTTCTCTTGGGTGTGCGAGGCTGCCCCACACACAAAGAAACACTTGGGGACAGGATTAGTAGGCTTACAGCGGATTCACATATGTCCAGTTCAAGCAATTGGTATTCAAAGCTTTACACTTTCAAATGCCACCAAGAGAGAGCAAAGCCGACCAGCGCTTTTCTTTGCATTGGCAGCACCTTTATGAGAAGGGCTCTTTTGCTGGGCCAACAATGAGGCCGTGAATACACATTTTTACTGTTCTACCAGGGGGATCTCATTGGTGAAGGATATAGAGCAGCGAGAAGAGTTTGAGACAGACTTTATTATCCCAGTTTGAAGTGCTGGGTGGGTGGGTGGGTTGTACAGACCGATGGATGGAAGGATAGACAGATGGATGGATGGATGGAGGGAGGGAGGGATGGAGGGAGGGATGTCGAGGTGGTGGTCAGAGGAAGAGTGCTTCAGTTACTTCCACATGTTATTGTTGTTGGCCCGTTCCTCCACTCCACCTCTACAAAACAGATCTGGAGTAGACTCTTCAGAGTGGAGAGAGCGCTCTCAGCAGCTCAATGTAGACAATACTGACTCAATTTAATGTATTCTCCTAACATGTAACACCTTCGGGGATCTTTTCTGTTCGCTTACTTGATCAATAAAATGTGTTTAATGATGGATCTGTGTTTTGTGTAAATTTCATAAACTGGTTTATTGTATCATTTTGAAAATACAGTTTATGGCTGATTTAAATTTTTAATGTTTATTCTGTTTAAATAGATCTTGTATTTATAAGAACCCCCCTTATTTTGTATTTATAGATTTTTATGTGTGGCAATGAATTGTTTATATTTGCCTCAGATTTCCCCTTGAGGGAAGAATAAAGTATTTTGAATTAAATTCTTGAGATGCTATAATGAACTGTAATATTTTGATTTCCATGTAGTTTTACATTTTTAAATGATAAAGTGCTATTTATTATTAATCCAAATTTAGTCTTATATTATCTATAATAATAATTATAATTAGTATTATAATTATAATATGGATAAATTAAATGAAAAATGACCCTTCAGTAACACATGGAAACGATGAGAAGTGTTATGAAGGTAAACTCTGAAGCCCACATGCTGCCATATGGCCAGCAGAGTGCCGAGTGTCGGAGCGGGCATGTTACCTCTGTCCCAGCGGAGGCCGCGCTCCCCTGCGGCAGCAGGAGCCGCTGAATGGGAAAGTAATTTCCCTTCCCATTCCTCCTCATTCCCTCAGGCAACCACCGGCCGAGCAGCGGACACTTTGGGTTAAAATATTGGCTGTCCGATAATAAACACCAATCTTCGAAACAACATTATGTGAGAGGCTGAAGCTTTTAAGAGAACATAGGCTGCTCTCTCCTCCTCTTGGTGCGTTTCATTTTTTTAACTTTTTTTTTTATGTCTGTGAAACATAGACAAATACATTTTCCACGATGTAATAACACTGATTTTGTGCGCAAAACTTATATTACCGAGCTCACAAAATTCTCCAAAGACGGACAGGCCAAAGACAAATACAGTGTTTCTGTAGCTTTAAAAAAAAAAAAAAAAAAACTAAAATAAAGTGTTAAAGTCTCTTAAATCAATTTCTACGGCATGTGCAACTTTCACATAAATCTCATAAAAGAAGCAATTATAAAACTGACCAGCTCGTCCCAGGAAGAGAAACTTTCTGATCCACGAGAGGAGAAGAAGAGAAAGAAGAGGAGAAAAAGGAAGAGAAAGAAGAGAAGAAAGGGAAGAGGAGAGCAGAGCAAGAAGAGAAGAAGAGGAGAGACGGAGAGGCGCGCTGTGCCCCCCAACGGTGTCCTGACAATGGCAGTGAATGGTTGCGCACCGCGGTCACTGGGACAGTCAAAGCACACCGCCCCCTTTCTAACGGGCACGTCATCCTCCTAACTAGGCGTTATGAATAGGAAAAGCCGCTTTTGTCTGCCTGCATGTATAAATACCCACAATCAGTGTCCTCCTCACCGCAGAGATACAGAGACACTGAGAGAGAGAGAGAGAGAGAGAGAGAGAGAGAGAGAGAGAGAGACAGACAGAAAAGAGAGAAAGTCGGCAGAGGCAACGTGGTCACCGATGTGATAAGAAGGACAGGAGCGTGGGACAGGAGGGCTTCAGTCAACATCAGGTGACTAGAGTGACTACAGGCTCCAGAAAGAGAGAGAGAGAGAGAGACGCAGAGAGAGAGTAAAAAGAAAGTGAGAGAGAGAGAGAGAGAGAGAGAGAGAGAGAGAGGGAGGAAGCCAGCAGCGACCTCCTACCCAAAAGTCTCGGAAGCGAACCCATAAAATGAATTCAGACTCCAGCCCGAGCAGCAGAGCCTCTTCCCCGGACATGGACGGCATGTTTCTCCGAGACCATCACCCGCACCACAGTCACCACCACCACCACCACCACCACGTCGGCTCCTCCGTGTCCTCGTCCACGCAGGGCGGCGGCGAGCAGCAGCGACAGAAGATGAGCAGCGGCGACCACCTGCGCTCTGGAGACCCCAAGTCCGTGGAAAGCAGCAGCAGCAGCAGCAGCAGCAGCAGCAACAAGTTCAAACTGAAGAAACAAGTCACCGAGGAGGAAATGTACCACCTCCGTCTAAAGATCAACGGCCGGGAGAGGAAGCGCATGCACGACCTCAACCTGGCCATGGACGGCCTGCGCGAGGTGATGCCCTACGCGCACGGGCCCTCGGTGCGGAAGTTGTCCAAGATCGCCACGCTGCTTCTCGCCAGGAACTACATCCTGATGCTCACCAGCTCCTTGGATGAGATGAAGCGGCTGGTGGGGGAGATTTACGGCGGGCAGCACTCAGCTTTCCACTGCGGCACCGTGGCGCACGCCGCCGGCGGACACGCTGGGGGCCCCGCCGCTGCAGCCGCTGCCGCAGCCGCCGCGGCGCACCAGGTGCACCCTCTCCTCGGGACCGCGCTGACTTCCTCCACGTCCTCCACCCTGTCGAGCGCGCTGCCGGGACTCACGTCTATCCGAGCACCCCACTCCCTGATGAAGGGCGCCCCGGCTGCGCCCCCGGCCCTGCAGCTGGGCTCCGGCTTCCAGCACTGGGCCGGACTCCCGTGTCCCTGCACCATCTGCCAGGTGCCTCCTCCTCCACACATCCCCATCACCTCCACCGGCCTCACGAGACTCACAGTGGAGGGCAAAGACGGGATGAAATGATGCCCGGTGTGGTGTGTGTGTGTGTGTGTGTGTGTGTGTGTGTGTGTGTGTGTGTGTGTGTGTGTGTGTGTGGGGGGGGACAGACGCGCAGAGACTGACTGTAAATAGAGAATTCAGGGCATGAGGGTGGATTTGGCCTCACTGGTGCATGTTGTTGTTTAGTCTGTTTTCTTGTTTGGCGTATGAGAAAAAGTGTTATTTTCCTCCTTGTAACAAGGACTTATAATGACTGATGATTTTGCCAATTGAAGGTAAAATAAACAAGTTCTGTGTCATGCAAAAAAAGATGCCACGATCCTCTTGTGTTTGATTGAGTTTCAGTCTCACGCCACAATGTGAAAGGTGGAGGAGGCTGCATGAACATTTTGATTTAAGTTTTACAATTTTTTTTCTGTATCAGGCGTCATTTTGTGAAAACGAAGAATGCTCTGTGTGCCTTGTACCAAGGATTTTAAACTTGAGTTCTATATGAAAAGACATTTATGTGTTTGGCTTAAATGGTTCTGCCACCGCGGAAATTTGTTTTCAAATCTAAGTTTTTAGATTTTTATTTTGTGACTCATTGTATGTCCATTTGTGCTCTGATTTACTTTTTTTTTTTTTTTTGCATGATGGTGTACTTATCACAGCATGACTGTTTTTTTGCTGAACTGAATTTGTTATCCCCAGAGACCCCGTGTCTTTATTTTTGTACATTGTTGATGACTGATGAAATATTTATTATCGCCCAGCGTCCCTGGATGAAATTTCAATAAAACTGAAATTATGGATCATATCTACTGTCTCCCTCTCTGTCACTTGGAACTCGAAAACATTAAAAACAATATTTATCCTGTTCAAACTATCTGAAGTTCTACATTTTACCTATTATTTACTATTACAGTGTACTTATTTCTTGAATGGATGCACACTCAAAATAAACACACTTTTATTGTCAGATAAAAACACCTTAATCTCTCTCAATCTATCCCGTTATTTTAGTCAAAACATAGGCTCTTTAATTATTGTACATCTTTCAGTATTTAAATGTTTTACTCCAATTTACTAAAGTAAGGCCTCAGTTAAAAACGCCACGGTGTGTTGACTTTCACAGACTCCAAATTTCCACTTTTAATTATTTGGAATCAACGAAAATAATGACATTTAACATAATAGAGTACATTTTAACGAGAGAAATTGGTCAAATATGTTAATATTTAGAAAGAATACAACAAGTGAGTGAACGAAAATTAAATAACTCTCAGATAATTGTATTTTTTCCTTTACATTTTGCTCCGAAATTAAATTTCCCTGCTCATACACGTGTGGGCCTATGGTACAACCTACAGCCGCAGTTTGATTGTGTGTTTATTAAAATTAATATTTTAAATACAGCTCTAACATTAAGTGAGGACAGTCCGAAAGTTGCTCAAGGTCGGCTCATTTTCTGCAAGCCCCTATAGCCTACCACTTTAAAACAATTTGAAACTGATGAAACCTTATTTTATATCAGCTGGTCATTTCTCTTCTGTCTCATCTCTTCACCCACAGGCCCCATGTTGCACAATAACAGCTAATGATGAGTTAAAACACACACACACACACACACACACACACACACACACACACACACGGTCAGGCAGAATTTATTTAACTTTTCCGAGCAGCTCACAACAAATGTTAAGAAGGAGAAAATGAGGATGAAATGAGGGAATGGGCTGCAGCCTAATGGAGCCCAGTTGAATTGTGATCCGCCTCGGGGAGCGCAGAGCGGTTTGTCCGCCGGGTCCCTTGGGTGTTTCTCCGTCTCATCTCTGCAGCGACAGAATGTATGTTTGTGGAGATTACAAGTTAATTGTTCATGGGGGACCAAGAGGAGAAAATCACATCACAGAAAGGCGTCGGGATTACAGGCTACTAAATGCAGAAGATTATACATTCAGAGCCCCTCCTCGGCCTCGCCGCATGCAAATGAGTGTGTGGATTAAAAAAGTAAAGAAAGACAAGAAAAAGAAAAGGAGAAGAAGCCCTTTTGTAACTTATTTGGAGGGAAGAAAACACAAATTCTGTGACTAAGTTGAGAAAGAGTGAAAGAGTTCATTTTACACTTCTTTTTTGTCTTTAGGAATGAGTATAGCCTGTCTGTCCCTCGCAGGCTGCCAGATGGGATGTAAATAGCTGGGTAGCTGCAATGGCCTTTTAACCGCACAACACTGAGGAGGATGTTGTCAAGGGAAGCTGGCGGTTTGCGAGTTAATAGTCATGAGTTGGGGTAATTACTTAAGGTTTATTATGCTCCGGTTTCAAAGGAAATGGACTCTTCAATGGGCCGAGAAATACTTCTTAATTCTAGCTAATTAGGAGCTGTGTAAAGCAGAGACAACTGCTGCTGCTGCTGCTGCTGCCATCAAGCACTGGTACATTCATGGAGGGGGATCATTTGTGAGTAAGCCACAAAATAATGCACAAAACAATCATGCACATGCAAATAACATGCACAAAACAAATGCAAACCACGACAGTTGCATATTAAAGAGGTGCATGTAAATCACTGCTGTTTCTGTTTTATTCTGGGAGTGTAAATCTGCTGGATGGACTTCACTCTGAAATGTAAAAGTTTTTGACTGTAATTCTGCTAAAAGCGAGTGAATGGAAGTAATTATACACTTACAAATATGCTTTAATTATGTTTTTATGTTGATCATAGACTAGGTGTATCTTCCTTGCACGATTCATAAAGAATATTCTCATTATACAATTTTTTTACTTTTACCTAATCAAATGCCTTTATTAAGGGAGGCATAGCAAATACAGAAAGTTGGTGATGGTACTATTCAGCAATCTGTTATTCATCAAATGACAATTAAACTGCAGCTTTTCACTTTTCTTTCAACCAATTCTGCTTTGTCTCTGCAGCGAGCATCAAAACCTCAAAGCATATTGGAGATGATGGAATTTGTGTTAACTTTATTTCCATTACAACACCAGTCTTAATGAGATAACAGTGCAACGGGACAACATTCTCAGCAAACTAATAACAAATCCATAATATACATAAGAACAAATACATAAAGCAGCATAAACATGAAAGATCAATATGCCGTAAAGTGTGAAAGGTTTGCATTTCAAAAGACCTTCAAGAGTTGCCTCAGGGAATGTTCTTATTTCAGCATGTTCAGAAAAATAACACAGACAGACAGACAGACAGACAGAAGACAGGAGACATCGTTTCTTCAGAGACAGTGTGTTTTGTTGTTTCAGGCCGGTCAGCGATAACTGAATGAACTTGTGGCCATCAGCTCCTCTTTTCATGAGTCTTGACAAACAACTGGTCCTTTTACAGAGCACACACCTGTTACTAGGACCCACTCGAGGTTTATCACCTAAAGCAACACTGCTTTGTTCAGCACACACACACACACACACACACACAAAACAGGCCTTTATTTTCACTCTTGGACACGGATGCTATCAAGGCAACAAATGCTGTCAGCCTCACTCTGTCTCCCTGTGACCAAGCTGATTTTTTTTCCCCCAAAAAAATCTAAAATCTGTAAAGTTGTTAATTAAAACGCACTGACAGATGCTTGTCAGCTCCATCGTAGTTACGAGCTTTACAAAGCTGCACATAATGCAGCTTTTTAGTCAGATATGTACAAACAGTAGGGGTGTTAAGGCTTTAATAACTCCAGAGTTTGTGCAAACATCTCATTTGGCAATCGCACACTGTTGTTGCATTCAAAATGAAGAGAGCGTGTGAGTGTGAAGTGGTCTGCTGGTGTGTTTACTTGCTCGGTCAGTGAGCTGCTGCAGGGCCGGTGCCTGAGGGCAGCAATTGAAAATAAATTTCCGTTGAATAAGGGGCAGTGGCCGCATCAGCCGAGCTGCTGCTAGAACAAAAGCAGTTGAGGGGATAAGTTATTGACCAGGCTGACAGCCTGAACGAGGTTGATTATAACTGCCTGGTTGTGCTCTGTGTGTGTGTGTGTGTGTGTGTGTGTGTGTGTGTGTGTGTGTGTGTGTGTGTGTGTGCATAGTCATAGTCAGTGAAGCAGGTGCAGAGGCCATTCCCTTTCTGTGTCTACCTCTCTCTGTCTCTCTCTCTCTTTCTGCCCTCGGGGAAGCCTCGGGGCCCTCTGCCCTCCTGTCCTCAGCTGATTCCATAGACTAATGTTTAACCCATACTGCCAAAACAGAAAGCATATTTCCATCATAAGAGCGCTTTGCCATCGCCATTAGCGACTGAGCTCATTTGCATGTTAATTGTGCAGTTAGAGAGGTGGTGTTGACACTTCTCTTTGTCCATGCAGGGTCGCGGGAAGTGAGAGGATGGGGCTGCAGAATGACATCCATGTGTGTTATTGTTTCAGGCTGGTTGTATCATCTGTTATCATGGGACTTCCAAACACAATGGAAAATAGATCAAGTTAATTTAATACGGTGTTATTCATGGCCTCCTGTAAGATTCAAATAAAGCCTTCATCTGTAACGTTTTTAATAGGAAACATTATGAAACTGGTTAAAATCAAGTAATATTTATGTAGTCGTATTTTTCACATGTAAACATGAATTTAAAAAACATAGAAAGTTGTGGAAAACCATTAACGTTCACTTAACGAGACCCAATATGAGAATAAAATCACACAGTTTCGAGAGTAAATGGGAGACGTCTGAATGATCTGCATCATCGCAACGAGAAACAAGGAAGTGAGTTTGGTCACGTATGGCTCAACGTTTTTAAATTGACAGGGATTGGTTGAATTTGTGTTAATTGTTGCCATCACAACTTCACAACTTCCTGGAGAGACTGCTTCATATACTAACTATTACTTTCAGATAACTGTAGTGGAGTAAAATGTACAATATTTGCCTCTTAACGGTATTGGAAATAAAGTACCTAAAATTCTACTATTAAAAGTACAGTAAATAAGTAAATGTACTTAGTTATATTTCACCACGAAGAATATAAAACAGTACCTCCTCTTCACCGGCTGCAACATTAAAATGCATCATTAATATTGTAATCAAGTAATATGATTAGTGCAGCGATTATTTGCAACATAATTCAACTGATTGACAGTATTTGGTGCTTTTTGTTAATTTTACATGATTGTAAATTGAACATCTGAGTTTTGGACTGTTGGTCGAACAAATGGTGAATAAAATCCTCAACCTTGGGCTTTGGTAAATTGTATGTATTAATGCAAATACATACGGTAGTATCCAAGGTGGTGATACAGATTCTCTCCATATCTTTGACAGATTATATATTTTTAATTTAGATAATTTCTAACATTTTATATACTAAAAGATTGATCAACTAATTGGAAAAATAAACAATCAATCAATTATCAATAAAGAGAATAATCATTGCAGTAATAATAATGTAATGCCAGATGAGTACTTTTACCTTTGATACTTGAAGTATAATTTGCTAAACACACGAGTAAAATATCAACGTTCTTCCTCTAGTAATTACCATGTGGGCATGATTATTGTCAATATTATTAATTATGGGCCTGTAAAGAAAATATAACACACAGACAAAATGGACATGCCGTGTTTACACAGCATGCAAAATATGCACAAGAAGACAAATACACACGCTCACACTTTCATTTGTCCACACACAAGCTAGTTTGGTGTGAATTTTGTGGAATAAATACAGATTAGGCCAGACAGAAAGTGTCTGTGTGTGTGTGTGTGTGTGTGTGTGTGTGTGTGTGCGTGTGTGTGTTTGTGTGTGTGCGTGTGTGTGTTTGTGTGTGTGTGTCAGCAGTAATATCCTCCTACAGT